CATACTCAGCCAGATTTTTTTTTAACCAGCTTGGAAATGGTTTGCTTGTGAGAGAGACTGTAATGGGTCCCCGAAAGTTAGTCAGACTAGGGGTGGGGGCACAGCTGCAGCTCTGGCAGGTTATGTAAAAGGCAGAACACTTGGGGGTCTGATGTAGAGAAGTCTCTGAAACATGAAACAACATCTAGAAGGTTCTAGGGCAAGCTGGAATTCTGTAGAGCAGTCAATACCTCCACGACGACAAATCCTCCAGTACCCCAGCATGCCGCAATGTTCACAGAGAATCAAGAAACAAGAAAGAAAGAGAGGAAATGATTTCAAGCTCAGCTTATTTTTCCACTTTCCAGGAGCCGTTTTGTTGTTGCTGTTGATGTTTGTTTTTGTTTTTTACTTAGCAAATGGGGCTAGGTGTGGTGACACATACCTTTAGCCCCAGTACTTAGGAGGCAGAGGTGGGCAGATCTGAGTTCAAGACCAGCCTAGTCTACAAAGAGTTTCAGGACAGCCAGGGCTGCACAGAGAAACCCTGTCTCGGGGTCAGGGGAAGCAAACAAAGGCTAGAGGAAGGGCTCAGATCACCTAGAGTTGGAGCTGCAGGCAGTTGCAATTCACTTTACATGGATGGTGGGAATTGAACTTGCATCTTCTGCAAGAGCAACATGGGCTCTTAAATGCCGAGCCATCTCTCCAGCCCTTTTCCTGTTTGGTTTTTGATACCGTTGACTCCTGCTTACAAGTTCAGGTCAACTGAAAAAAGCCAGGCTCTAAAGCCATGATCAAGAAGCTGCTGAGAACACCCAGCAATTTGTAGCTGATAGTATCCTGCGAAGGCCTTTCCTAATCAATTCGATTAGAATTGGGGACTTTTAATGTATCATCTTCCATCGTTTTCAACCTAACGTACCAATGAGAAACTTCTCCAGCTTCCTCAGAGCAACCTCACCTTCCCATGTAACTTCAAAGCCCTCGGCATCCGTATTTTCTCTTCTGCCTGAAGAGGTACTTACTTAGGAAGAGTGACAGGAAGTTGAGTCCAAGTACCTAGATGCCCATGGACATGACTGCTTCCATGAAAGACTGGGAGTTATCCAGGGGAGGCTGAAAGAGTTGAGCTCCCAGGGTCAAGGAACTGAATGAACTGTGCTTTGGAGGGATTTCAGACTGTCTTTTGGGAAAACATCTTGTTTTAGGGTTTCTATTGCTGTGAAGAGACACCATGACCACTGCAACTCTTACCAAGGGAAACCTTTCTCTGGGCTTGCTTGCAGTTTCAGAGGTTTAGTCCATGATCGTCATGGCAGGAAGCATGGCAGTATGCAGGCAGACATGGTGTCTAGATGAACAATAAATGACACCCACAGTGGTCGGGTGACCTTCAGTCTCAGCAATAGTTAGCCACATCTCCCTCTTCTCCCTCTCAACAAAGGAACATTGCTTAGGGTGGTATTTTTCCCCCAAGAAGGAAAAGCCAGAATTCCTGAATCTTAGAGAAATATCCTGAGTCTCAGCAACTCTGAAGTCCCAGCTGGCATGACTTCCCCTCCACAGTGTTTTTTGTGGAAGCTGCCTGGCTCTGAGATCTGGCCAGATGCCTCCCATGGAGCCTTTAGCCTTGTGTTCCGGTATTCTAGGATGTCAGCCCATGATTGAATTCCAGAAAAGGACCCCTCTCTGCTTTATTAAACTTGTCTCCCCTTGGCAGAGGGTACTGTCTATCCTCCGTACAGCTGCACTTTAAAGGCCGGAAGGCGAGTGAGCATGTGCAGAAACCCATCACCTTGCTTTCCAGTTTCCAGGCAACCATGCAGGATTACAACAAGTCACATGATAATGCTGCTGCCAGGGAGAGGAGGAAAATGGCAAACTGCTATCTTGAGAAAGGTTGGGAATAAATGAAGGCTTTCGGATGCTCCTCCACTTATATCAACAAGTAGTCGGAGACCCAATGCTAGAGAGGGCTTCCGGCTTCTCAGCAATCCCCCAGCCTCCTGCTAGATGTAAAGTGTTCCCCTGAACATGAAGTTGGGGGAGGAAGGGGACCAGGCAGGGGTGAGCCAGCAGAGATGGGGAGCGGTTGGCCTGAGGTGACCCCAACACCTGCTGTGGAAGCCCAGCTCTTATAGGGGTTGTTCCTGAGAAGATCCAAGCCACAAGGGACTCCCCAGGCTGCACTGGGCTAAAGAAGGAGCAGGAGCACTCTCTGGTTTAAAGGCAGCCTGCAATGACTGTGAATGGCTGAGGGGCAGTGAGGGGTCAGTGGAGACAACCAGGAGGGAAAGGAAAACCACCCAGGAAGGCCCAGTTTCCACTTCCTTCCTGAAAGTCTCCTCTTTTCTGAACCTTGTTTATTTTGATTTGGGATGGCTTGACTTTTCTTATGTCCTCTCCCCCACCCCCACAGATTGTGTGTGTGTGTGTGTGTGTGTGTGTGTGTGTGTGTGTGTGTGTGTGTGTGACATACATGAATACCCCTGGCTGTTTGCACTGTAGCTGCGTCTATGATAGGCAGGGCTTCTCTCTACCTTGCTGCTTCAGGAACAACACCTCTGTGGCTCAGGACCCCCAGGAGGCACAGTTTTGCTGGGGTTGATTAAGGAGGTGTATTTTCCTAGAGGTGGGTCTAGGGTTCCATATACCATTTCAGGGCCAGCAGCCAAGGGCAGTCAGGAGCGATGGACCCTGCAGGATTCTGGAAGGCAGACAGACTTTCCAGCCACCCAGTTTCCCCATACCTAGTAGTTATCTCAGTGCCCAGATGCATCATGGGAACATGTTTTCTCTGGTCTTTCTGGGAAGAACTGCATTTCACAGCCTGGACTATTGGCTCTCTACAGGTGGGCTCCTGGTGGCAGGGCAAGCTGGGCGTATTGACCATGGACACAGAGGAGGCCCCCCTCATTTCTAGGCTGTTGACTTTGGAGGCTTGAGCCCTGGGGGTTCTTTTGTCCCTTGCCACAGCCCCAGTTCTTCTCCAGTAGAACCTGGGTGGCACTTACTCTTTCCCTTTAGACAGTCATGTTTCTCACCTATTTCAAAGTTCCCAAAGCCGAGTGATTATCCTTCATTCATTTTTAAGTTAACAGGACAGACAAAATGAGTGGTTTGCAAGCAAAAACCCCTGCACAGCAGGGTAGGGCCAGGGCCAGGGCCCTGGCTTTCGCCTCTTTCCTCTTTTTGCATTACTTTTCTGTGGTTTTTGCTGTTGTTACTTTGTTAGCGCTGTTGTTTTGAGACAGTCTTAAATAGCCCAGGCTGGCTTCAAATTTACTATGTTGGTCTTGGGATTCTCATTCTGTTGGTTCTATCTTTGGGGTGACAGCCAGTTGTCATCAACTCTGGTTTACTTGGTGTGGGGTGGGAGGGGGCAGGGGTGGAACCCAGGGCTTTCAGAGTTGTGTGCATTCAAAGTAATAGCTATACCAGGCTACATCCTCACCTCTATTTCCCCCCATAGGATGAAAAGATCATTAGCTCACCCATGAGGAAACATTCTACAATAGATACGTAAATAAATGCTCTGGACTTATGACATATTTTTAAGGGCTCTGCCTTATAAACATTTTGGGGAGAAGATGGGAAGGAATCCAAAGGTGACAATGGGGTGAATTTTTATACTTTAACATTGCATGTGTGTGTGGGAGGCACTCCACGGCCGTTTAATATGTAACATATGGGATGGTGGCAGCCTTTTTGGAAGAGCATATTGGGCACGAATTTGTTGAGACGTCAATGTGTGTACAAGGAAGGCTCTAACTGCCATGCAAGGTTGCAAACTGGGAAACTGATGGGTGTTCTCCGACTACAAAGCAGGTCTCCCCACCTTCACACAAACACGACCGCAAACTGTTCCTATATTAACTCAGATGCTGGAACACAAGAGGGCACGCGCGCGCGCGCGCGCGCACGCACACACACACACACACACACACACAAACGCACGCCCGCGCGCGCACACACACGCAAACATGTGCCATGCCTTATGGGTCCCAGCCAGAGTATGCCCTAAGACACTTGGCCAGCGGATCCTAGGGCTACAGTTCCTTCCAGAAGGCCCTCCCAATCCAAATTTCCAGGGAAACTTGAATAAAGGTAGGAAAGTATTTGATGATGGGGGGTGGGCACGCTCTGCTTGCTTGCAGTTCTTGCGATGGCCAGAGAGCTACAAGGAACTGGCATTCCATAGCTTGAGAGCTCCAGGGCAGGCAGGGGGAGGAGGCATGAGCGTAGAGGCCGGAGAACTTGAAAGATGAAATCAGAACTCTGGCCGAGAGAGCCCCGGGGCCGCCGGGAGCCGGCGGGGGGCGGACAAGGACTGTGGAAGGGTTAACGCGGGAGCGGAGTGTGCGACCGGGGCCGGGGCGGGGCGGGGCAGAGCGGGCTCGCGCTGTCCCTTTAAGGAGGGCGGCGCGGGCCGGCCGAGCGCCGCTGTGATTGGCGCGGCGGGATCACTGGCTCCCTGAGCCCGGCCCGGGGGAGTCGGCTGGAGCCGGCTGTGCTTTGATAAGGTCCTGGCAACTCAGTAACGGCCCAAGAACGGGGAAATTAAAAATAAGCCCCCGATCGCGATGGATTCCGGGGCCACCCGGAGGCCAAGGCGCCCGCCTCCCGAACGGAGAGCTCAGCTGTAAAAGGTGGGGTCGGAGGTTCTGTCCCGGAGCAGCTGCTTGCAAGAAAGCTCGGGGCGGCTGGGGGCGGCTGGCAGCGGGGTACGGGGCCACGGAAGGGGGCAGGAGGGTGCAAGTCGTGGGTAGCAAAGGGGTGTGCGGGCTGCATGGCCCCCAGAGGGGCGCAGGAGCGTGCTGGGCTGGCCCGGGTGCGGCTCGCGTACCTCCCTTCCAGGACCGTGCGCTCGGCTCGCGCCTTTGAAGTGCACAGTTAAATCCACAGCGCAGTTTTTGTTGGAAGCGCCCGGAGGACATTTGGTGCGCCTAGTGACTGCTGGAAACAGGACCTGGGTTGAAAGCCGGCCGGGCGGGGGCCGGAGGGGCCGAGGGGCGGCCGCGGCGGGGGCGGAGGCCCACTCGGATCTTTTGCATAAAAGGGGCAGCGGGGCGCACGCTCCCCTCCCCGGTGCGGAGCTTGCTCTCGCCTCGGGATCGTTGTTTTCTGCGCACCCCCTCCTCCGCCTCCGCGAGATTCCCCATGTTCCCCTTGCCCGGGCGGGTCCGGGGGGGGCCCGGGGCTGCCTCTGCGAGTCCAGCGGGGGACCCGGGCCGGGGCCCTGCCCGCGGCGCCTGCGAGGTCTCGACGAGGAGTGCGCCAGCGGATCAATGGTGAGTGCGGAGGCCGCGGCGGTCGGGCGGCCCGCGCGCTTTGATGTGCGGGGCGGCGCTTTGAAGTTGGCAAGCCGGCTATTTCGGGGCGCGCTCCGGGCCGGCGCGGAGGGGAAGCTGCGGGCTCGGCGCCCAGCGCTCCGGGGGGTTTGGCCGGGCGGCCCAGCGCACGATGCGTCGGAGTCCCCCTCCCCAACGCGGGGCCCGGGGTGTCGGGGGGCCGGTCAGGGAGACTTCTCCAAGTGGCGTCGGGGTCTGAGGCGGAGACGGACATCTCGCCCTCGGGGGTCGAGTCGCCGTGGGTGTGGATGAGTCGGGGTGTGCGTCTGCACGCGAGTGCCTTTGGAAGGTGGGATGAAAGGGTAGCGGCGCCCCCTCTTGCCCTCCCCGCCCCCTCCCACTTCTTTCCTCTCTCGTCTCCCCCTCCCAACCGCGGGTCCGCGCTTAGGTGCCCAGAGCGCTGGTGGAGGCTCAGTCTGAGCGCTGGACCGGCCGGAGTCCGGGGCGCTCGCGCCCCCCGCGTTCCTCCTCGCCGCCCCTTTTGCGGAGAGGCCGAGACTCCGCGCGTCGCCATTTCTGGACTAGGCGGCTGTTTTCCGTGCCTTTTCTACTGGAACCTCTGCGAGGCTTGACGCCTGGGAGTGACCCCCCATCTGGGCTCTCTGGTCCCCGGCCTCGCTCCTGGTGAACTGCGCACCGGGACACTGGAGGCGTTCGTTTGCAGTTGGGCCGGGGAGGGACGGGACCGGAGGGACTCAGAGGAGATGAGAGCCCGGCCTTGGCGGCCTTCATCTTCCAGGTAACGGCGTCTCACCACCTCCTCTGCGCCCGGGTGCCCGGCGTTACCCGCGGCCCCGCCACTTCGCGGGTTTGTGCTCAGCCTGGCGGCCGGAGGTCCAGAACTGGGGCGGGGTGCATCAACCCAGGCCCGGGGTCTCGAGCAGCTGGCCCGGCGTTCCTCCCGGTTCCCCACCCGCCCCTGCCCTTCCTAGTTTGATCCTTCACTGGCTAGAGAGAAAGCAGCTTGTTTATTGGTTAGATAAGACTTCTTTTCTTTTGGAGAAAGAATGGCTTGGGATCAGTGGAGTTTGGGATTCTTGGCACTGGCTGTAGTAGCGTGAGACGCCTTCTGATCCGGTTTTGTTGGGTTCGCGGCTCCAGGAGGTGGATTGGGGGAGCCGGGGGCGGCGGGTCTCGAGGTTTCTCTTTTCTCTTTCAAAGTTTGAAGATCAAAGCCTCTTACATAGTGAACTGGTTTCTGCTTTGGGGAAGCGTAGAAGACAAGGGTTGTAGACTGAACCACGTTCTTGGTGGAGAGTCTTGAGTACAGGCAACATTTTCATCAAGAATCTGGGGGTGCGTGCTGAATTCAGGAGTCCCTGAGCCCCTTTCCGCCGATGCTGGGCGGGCTTTTTTCTTCTTTTTTTTTTTTTTGGGCGAGGATCTTCTGTAAGAAGTGGGACGAGGGAGCGCAGAGGGAGGAGGTGGTGGGGGGAATGGGAACCAGATGCCGGGGAAGGGCACTTTGAGAGCTTGAGTTATCTATGCAGAACAGAGTGGGGAAGTTTTACAGAAATTGGTTTCACCTGCACTCAGCCGGGTTGTGGGAGGGGGTCCAGCTGGGCTACCCTGAGTGTCTCTGGGACCCGCGGTTGTGGGGAAGGTTGTGTTTTATACCTCCCGCGTCCCTCTGTTTTTGCCTCACCTTCCCCTCTCATTCTTCACCCCTCCCCGGAAAAAAAGTGTGTGGGGAGCTCAGATTTCGCCTTTGAAAAAGCTGCGTCGGATACTTGAGATGAGCCCTTCGCGGATAGCTGGGTTGCTTGATTTGAATTTGAGGAGTTGAAAAGCCTGTTTACTTTCTTGCTTTGATGTTGGGTAGATCTGGTTTTGATTAGATCAATACCCTTTTCTCTCTCCCACCTCCCCCTCCCTTCCTTTTCTTTCCAGAGACGAGGCTCAGATGAGCCCCTGCTGACTTGAGAGAGACCAAGCCGGTTGCCGAGAGGAACTGGAAGAAGAAAGAGGAGGAGGAAAAAAACAAAACAAAACCTAAACTCAGTGAGAGGCTTTTCCTCACCATGAATAGTGCTGTGTTAGTGACTCTCCTTCCAGATCCCAGCAGCAGCTTCCGTGAGGATGCTCCGAGGCCCCCGGTTCCGGGAGAAGAAGGGGAGACCCCACCGTGCCAGCCCAGTGTGGGCAAGGGCCAGTCCACCAAACCTATGCCTGTCTCCTCTAATGCTAGGCGGAATGAAGATGGGCTGGGGGAGCCCGAGGGGCGGGCCTCCCCTGATTCCCCTCTGACCAGGTGGACCAAGTCCTTGCACTCCTTGTTGGGTGACCAGGATGGTGCTTACCTCTTCCGGACTTTCCTGGAGAGGGAGAAATGTGTGGATACCCTGGACTTCTGGTTTGCCTGCAATGGATTCAGGCAGATGAACTTGAAGGATACCAAAACTCTGCGAGTAGCCAAAGCAATCTATAAGAGGTACATTGAAAACAACAGCATTGTCTCCAAGCAGCTGAAACCTGCCACCAAGACCTACATCCGGGATGGCATCAAGAAGCAACAGATCGACTCCGTCATGTTTGACCAGGCACAGACTGAGGTCCAGGCTGTGATGGAGGAAAATGCCTACCAGATGTTTTTGACTTCGGACATATACCTCGAATATGTGAGGAGTGGGGGAGAGAACACAGCTTACATGAGCAATGGGGGACTGGGGAGCCTTAAGGTCCTGTGCGGCTACCTCCCCACCTTGAACGAAGAAGAGGAGTGGACTTGTGCTGACTTGAAGTGCAAACTTTCGCCCACCGTGGTTGGCTTGTCCAGCAAAACTCTGCGGGCCACAGCGAGTGTGCGGTCCACGGAAACGGTTGAGAATGCATTCAGGTAAGGCTTTTGGCTGGGGGGGCGGGGCGGGGCGGGGCGGGGTAGGGCGGTGGGGCCAGGGCTTGGAGGATGAGCTTTGCAAATGTTTTCAGTTAAGGTAGGTGGGCGGGTAGATAGGCTTTGGAAGCTGGTAAAGGTTGGTTGAGAGCTAGGACTTCTGGCTAGTAGAAACCCTTTGATCTCGTGTTTTGTGTGTGTGTGGGGGGGGCAATGTACGCACAGCTGAGTACCTGTAGCCTTCCAGTGCTAACTTCAAACAGTGGAAAGCAGTATTTATTAAGGTGGTTACTTATTATCCCGGACTACTGGGAGGGAAAGAGAGGAAAAGAGAAAGAAAATACGAATATAGTAGCTTTTGATGCCCGTGAGTCAGTAGACCCACCGAGCGCCAGTTTGGGGAGGGGTCATCTGACCGCTGGTCATCAAAGTGGAATCACTGGCTGGGGGCGGGGCAGCGGGGTTGTGGAGACACGGAAAATAACGTGTGTACCCGCGAAGGGGTAAGTGGGATCTTTTGAACTTTTCTGTTAAGATAAGAGCTAGCGATTGGCCTAGCCACCTAGTTGGTGGTTCCCTTTGTAGAATTAGGTATTTCCCAGCAAGGAAGACTTCTAACTAACTTGGGGAAAGCCTTGTGACTTCCTCACGCGAAGGAGCCTTTGCCTTAGAGTCTGCTGGGCCATTCACGCAGCTTTAAAATGTTTTGGAGCCCCAGGGTCAGACCTCTGTTGATGGCTTGTTGTTTAGTGCTGATAGGGAAGTGTGGGAGGGCCAGCCCCTCCGGAGCACTTTCTCTTTTTCAATACTTCAAAGACAAACAGACCATTATAGATTGGCCAAGTCTCAAGATTCTTGGCCTTTGCAGGCAACTTCAGACCTCCTGTTGGAATGACTTTTTCTGTCCCTTCGCCTCTCCAGAGAGCCCAAAAGAGAATGCACCTTTTAATTCTAGGCTTGTGCTTCTGATGTGCAGGGCGAGAGGTGGGCTGATCCTGGATTGCTCTCCGGGGGGGGGGGGGGGGGGGGGGGGGGGGGGGGGGGCGGCGGCTTTATTCTGCCTCAGTGTCTGGGACTCAGGACGCGGTCTACGCCTGTTTTCTTGCTATCTTTGTAGGGCGTGGTCTCCATTGTCCCCCAGCTGGAGGGGGGTATGCCCCTAATTGCAGCCCTGGAGCACTTGGGTTCCCATAGTTAGTCCTGCTTGTTGTAGGTAGGAGCTCTCTTGGATTTTGACTGCTTGTAAGAAGGGGGAGGGCCTGCTCTCCAGCCACCAGAGGGCGCTCTTGCAGCTTTGGGAGTGAATTTAACACTTTCAGACTATCTGGTCTACACCTAAAGGGAACTGGCTTGGCTTTTGCAGGCAAGTGTAGGCTCTCAGGAGGGGGTTGTTGCAGTGGCCCTGAGCTTGTAGCGAGCTAGGCTGTTGGCATGAAGCTGTTGGGGCCGCTGTAGCTGGTTGCACCCAGGCACCTGCATCTGTTGCCCTGCTCCATTGCAAGGACATGTAGGTAAACTTTGCTCTTGGCCTCCTTACCCTCCAGCTTTGGCAGGCAGTGATGAGACTCCTTAAGGCCTGTGGTAAGGCTGCCTCTCCAGCAGCCTTTTGACAGTGAGTCTTCTGTGTCAGCCCCAGAGTGTCACCTTTGTGAATAGCACAGTGTGGTTTGGGAGGCTGGCAGTAAGAAAACGCTCTTCAGGCAAGACTCTCTGCTTTGGCTTCTCCTTGTGGGTGGGCGGCCTAGGCGAAGCGATGGCTTGCCTCTTCCCAGAGGCTTCATTTAGGATATAACCAGTGTTAAGTTTGCAAAGCACTTGAGATTCCGGAGCCCTGTCTTCCAGGCTGGGGACTGTGGATGTCATTGATATATACAGCACAGCTCTTCGGGGACTCCTTGAGCCTCCACACCAGAGCAAGTGGATTTTCTCCCAATGCTAAGTTGGAATGAAACGTTTTACCAGCATTTCCACAAAGCCCGTATGTCTTTTGGGGGGGGGGGCGGGGGGTGTTCCGAGACAGGGTTTGTCTGTAGCTTTAGAGCCTGTCCTGGAACTCGCTCTGTGGACCAGGCTGGCCTCGAACTCACAGAGATCCACCTGTCTCTGCCTCCCGAGTGCTGGGGTTAAAGGCGTGTGCCACCGCCACCGCCCAGCCAAAGGCCACACAAGGGCATCCTAAAAGATAATCTAAGACACACCCAGATGGCCTTACTTTTTTTTAACACACAAGGTTTCCTACTATGTGTACAGTGTCTCTGAAGGACGAGTTCCAGCCCTGGCCAATGGCCTTACTTGGTTTGAAACTTTGTAAACCTCATGTTCCCATCTGTAAGATAGGTGGGCAATGTCTCTCCTGTCTATGTTCTAAAGTTGTTTTTAGGATCAAAATAATAAACTTGAAAGCCTTTTGTGAAGGGAAGCATTTTGAAAAGATGTTAAGTGTTATAATTAGTATAATGAACCGTAATGAGTGGCTCTCTGGAAAGGGCTGCAGAGTCAACACATAGCCTTTTTAAATAGCAACTCTGGGGCTTCAGCCCGTTTTTCACTGTAATATTTTAGAGGCGCTCTTCTCCCCGTGCCTCAACATCCTCTGCTCTTTGAACCTTTTCAAGTCTGCCTCTCAGCCTGTTCTTGGAACCCAGAGACCAACCGTGCCTCACTGTCAGAGCTGAGCCTCCCTTCCTCATCAGCTCCCCCATCCTGCCTGGCTTAGGGGATGGGCTGAGGAAGTGACCCAGTAAAGGGGCTGAAGCAGCTGGTACCTGCAGAGGGCCTGTCTGCCTCCACTGCTGGGAGTCCTCCGGGCCGCTGGGTGCCCAAGGCACCGGCTAGTCTTCGAAGCCCTGTGTTTATGTGGGCACTCAGAGGAGCCTGGTTCCTAAGGACTGGTTTGTAGCCTTTACCGATGTGGTGTCGGGTTTAATATAAATAGTTGAGACGGAAGAGCAGAAATTAGCCTCGGAGGGAAGGGCTCTGGTTTGTGCGTGGTTGGTTGAGTGGGATGCTTGGACTTTTGATGGTCTCTATAAATAACCAAGGGCATAAGTGACCTGGTGGTGGGAGCGTGTGTCCTAACCCCTCACACAAACAACACTCCCCCTCCCCCGCCCAGTGCGGAGGTGTGTGGAGCCAGGGGCTGTGATCTCAGGCGCTAGGTCCACACTTATTTTAAGAGGGAGGATACAGTGTTGGGCATACAGAAAGATCCTTTTCTGCCCTGACTCTGGGCAGGGGTTCATCTGCCTCTCCTTGGGCCCTCTTCTCTGGTCTGGCTTAAAATCCTAGGGGCCCGGCAGATGGCCCTGTGCTGGCTGCAAACGCTTCCTGTTCTCTGCAAGAACTCGCTGATGAGGCCCATTTTTGTGAGAAGCCATTGGAATCAAGTTTGGCTTCAATTATCAAAGAAAGTGATGCCATAGGAAAGATATGCCGGGAGCATTGGTCAGAATGCTAGTGACCACAGCTGGCGAAGATAACACTTGTCAAACTGCTTACAGAAGACGCTGAACCCTTACTGGCCAGCCATCCCTTGATCTCGCCTTCCAAAATGCTAGTTGAAGGGAGGGTATTGACCTTACAGTAAAATGTCAGAGGCTCATGCAAAGTCCCAAGCTCAGCTTCAAAATCGGTTTCTTTTGTTGTCCTGTTGGGAGAGGGGCCCCAGAAAGAGGTCCTTGGATAGGATTCTCTAGAGGAACAGAAGTGGCCCCAACATCTAGAGATAAGAGGTAGACACTTCATTCCCTCAAGGACCCAGGAGGCTGTGCTACTTGTTAGCGGAAAGCCCCATGTTTGCTCAATGGCAAAGTGGCCCATGGGTGCACCCCTCACACAGAACGTACCCCAAGCCTGCACACTCCCCAGGAGTGCAAAGTTCCTGCCCAGTTGGGAGTACAGTCCTCATCTGGGTGCAATTAAGGTAGCACGCTCCAGTCCCCCCCCCCCCCCTTTAAGCAATCACAAGAAGACAGCTCTGATTTATTTTCTTAAAATTACGTGGCACTTTGGAGAAAGTTCTGAGCACTTAAAACCTGAGTTTCTGTGTCTCTCCCCCACTCTGCTGCCGCCGGGTCATGACTGTAGGAAAATCCAAGTGCTCGATTGCAGTCAGTTGAGTCTAAGAGCAGCGGATTCCAGTTTTAATTGCTGATCACACAGCAGCCCTCTATTTTGGAACTGGAGGGAGATTAAGTTTATTTTGGGAGCCATGTGCAAAAGGAGCATGTGCACGCACACACGTGCGCACACACCCGTTTGACTTAGGTATTCTTTTTTGTTGCAGTGGTGAGGAAGGAATTTCTCTTGAGTCATTTTCTCCCCGTGGAGGCTAAAGTATAAGTCTTAGATCTAAAACATAGCTGATGTGTTAATACCACCAAGATAGCAAGACCGAGGGGAGGGAAGGTGTTTGAATGCTATTTCAGGCCGCCTTGGCTGTTTTGATCCTGCGCCACGCCTCTTCAGAACCTTTTCAGCGACCCATTTGACGGATGTAGGTCTTTGAAGGAGGCTCAGCCAAGTTTGGAGCTCCTGCCCAGCCCCCACCCCCACCCCCCACTTTTGGTGTTGGGGATATACATGTGCAGACGGGTTGTGCCCCCACAGACCACACAGTCTGGGGCTCAGGATAGGTTTCAGCTGTGAATCCATACTAAAGACTACAGGAGAAAGTAGAAGAGGTTTCGGGAACACAGGTCTCTCTGCTTTTGCTGGCAGTTGGGTCCTGGGAATGTTTCTGGGGTTAAAATCCCCCCCCCCCAATTTCAGTGCCCTTGCCCAGGCCTTTAGAGGCTATGGTGCAGGTGGCCATGTTTGAATTGCTCGTTTTTCATGGCGTGCCCCACACCTAGGGGGGCTGTGTGTTGGTCCAGTAGTTCATCAGCAAAGCCAAGCCAATTCCAGGTCTCTGCCTTCTCCTCCTATCGTGAGTGTACAGACTGTCCAGACCTCCCAAGAACAGGAGGGGACAGGAGTGGTTACCTTGACAGTCTTCTCTGAGGCAGCTGGCCCTTCATAGTAGGGGACTCCTAGTCTGTTTTAAAGTTTTGGTCTACCCAGCACTCGGGAGGCAGAGGCAGGCGGATCTCTCTGAGTTCGAGACCAGCCTGGTGTACAGAGCTAGTTCCAGGACAGGCTCCAAAGCCGCAGAGAAACCCTGTCTCGAAAAACCAAAATAAATAAATAAATAAATAAAGTTTTGGTCTATCTCTGTCCCCTCCCACCTGGTGATCTCTATTGGCCTCATCTTCATTCTGATTTGTGTGTCCTATTGCCCCTGGTTCGGCCTCTAGAGGCGCTGGTGAGCAGAGAGCCTTTCTTTTCTAGTCAGACCCCCATTGGCCAGGATGCTAGAACAACTGGTCACCCCTCAGTCTTTTCTGCCTCCCTATGGTCTCAGTCCCTGCCACCTTGGTTGCCTGGGAACCCCAAATTGAGCACATATAGATGAAGAACAGGCAAGGATGGTTTAGCAGTCAAAAGTTCTCATTAAAAAGCATTGAGAGGCAATAGATCTCCTGTCCTCAGCGACAGGGCAGGGCCAGTGGCCAAGGGCGGGTTTGGAGTCACTTGTCAAAAGCTTACAGCCGGTTTGCATGCAGCACTCCTGGTGTGCACTTCTTGGCATTTCTGTTTCTGAGGGATGCATCCAGACTGGCGCGGAGGCACAGAAGCACAGTCCCAGCTCGTGTCTATCAGTTCTCACTGACTCTCCAGTCTTGATGCTTAGCTCTCTCACCCCCTCAGGGAGGGATGTACTCTAACAGTGGGGCTTCCTCCCACATTCTTTTCCAGCTCCACTGTCACCAGAGTGGACAACAGGTCCATCCCTCCTGGGCCCGTGTCTGCGCTTGCCCCTCCTCGCAGTCCTCTTAGGTCTGTGCTGCTAGTAACTACCATCCATAGTGCTGTCCCCCAGACTCCTGTCCGCTCTCTGCCCTGTTAGGATAGACCCTGGCCTTACACCTTGTACCAGCCTCAGTAGTGTAGCTCACTAGAGTCCACTCTCTTCTTAGTCAGAAGAAGGCTTTCTGCAGTCTCTCCTGTCCACTGTATTCTCCTAAGCATCTTGAGACTTCTCAGATTCCTGCTCGTGTGATGTGATACGCCTGGTTCCCTCCGTCTTAGGGGGTCCTTCCCAGCCAGCCTTGCTAGAAACCTCTCCATCATATCCTGCCTCCAATTCTAGAACTTTCTAAAGTGGCTTGTGATAGGAGGCAGAAAGAGACTGATCGCAAGGCGCACCCTTGCCACACCCACCAGGTTCAGCTCTACAGTGTGGTGACTGTGTGCTGGGGACCACTAATGGCCTTCTCCAGAAAATGGGCACAGCACCCCATGCCTTCTGCCTAAGATAATGCTTGTGATTTGGTAGGCGTTCAGTAGCACCCACATACCTCCCTGATGACAACCCCTTACGTTATGGTGATGTGTCCTGACCAGAACCTGGGTACCAGAAGACCAGAGCCCAGCGACATAGTGCAAGGACAGGAACTCGGCGAACAAGAGCAGATGGCTGGTCATGACCTTTCCTTAGTCCCTGTCCGCTGCCAGCCTCACGGCTATCTTTACAGAGCAGCTGCTGTGGGCTGGTGGAGTGGGGCTCCTCTTGGAGCCTTTCCCCTCCACTCCTGTCTCTTGCCAGCTGAGCCCCAGGAGGACTATGCCAGGGGCTTGGTAAATGAAGCCTCCTGCAACTTCAGGCAGACTGACCCCTGGAAGGGATCCTTCCTGCAGCCCGCTGACCTGTGTCCCCTCCCCCTCACAAAAGTCCTTGGCTGATGACCCAAGTGGAATGCAGCCCAGCAGGAGACAGGCTCACTGGTTGTTCTGAAGCCCAGAATGGGGGACCTACAGGCCACTAAGACAAAGGGGCTGGAGACCCTTGGAGGAGGGGCCTGGGCCTGCCTTTGACACAGCTGCTCAGTTCAGTCCTGGCGCCTTAGTCAGCCCTAAGGGAAGGACAGCCATGGTGGGGGGAAGGGCGCTGCAGGCACTGTGTGGGCCACCTAGACATTATCTGTCCTATCTGCCTGGCTAATGTAGACCTAGGTCAAAGTGGGAAGGCCACCCCTGACTCGTAGATGTTAGTCTCTCTGGAGTAGGCCGGCAGACCTCAGACACCGGAGTTAGGACCTCACAAGTTCTTGGTCTGGGAATTGGCTTCTTCCCTCAGGCTTGGATGTAGAGACCAGGAGAAAAAAGACACCTGTCTAGCGGCTGCTTTTAGTTGGCTCTTACCCTGTCTCAGTCCTAGAATCCAGGCCTAGGAGTCGGTAACATTCATTCCCTGGCAGTCGCTGCAGCATTGCTGTGGTGGCCCCTCATCTTCTAAGGTTTGGGGAACCCAGCTTCCTTCCCTCCAAGGGGAGTCAGTGACGACCAGTCTTCTCTTTGTGGCCATCTGCCCAGGCTTGCAGCTGGACCTGAGCGACAAGGTGACATGGACCAGATGGGGAACTGTGCACTGTATCATTCTGGGGTCACCTGATGCGACCTGGGTTTCTGGTGGGCAATAGTGACCACACTCTCGTACTTTCCCCGTAGGTCCTTCAAGAGAAACGACCCCGTTAATCCTTATCACGTAGGTTCCGGCTATGTCTTCGCACCAGCCACCAGCGCCAACGACAGCGAGATCTCCAGCGACGCCTTGACTGATGATTCCATGTCCATGACAGACAGTAGTGTGTGAGTATCCTGTCTCCCTTCTCCACGTGGGACTGGGGGTGTGGTACCCTGAGGGATGGGGGTCCTGCCTCTCACGCTTACCCAGTTTTGTGGAGCCACAAGTGGACATTGGTCTTCTGGGGTGGGAATATGACGGGCATGCGGCTGGTGAGGGAGAGTGGCATCGTGGTCTAGGTAGGGTTCAGTGAGGGCCTAGAAAGGGAAGCTGGGGTGATGTCATCATAGAAAGAAGCCAGAGTGTATGGTGGGAGGGTAAGATGAGTGTCTGTGGACTTCTTAAGTTTAAAAACCATCTCCTGGTTGTGCTTATGGGAGAATCACTTGACTGGTCCTGAAACCAAGTCCACCTGCTATGGATCCAGCAGGTGGAACGTGGAACCTTTCTAGAATGATTTTCCTTTCACCCTTGCTCTTTGAGAAAAAGACAAGGAACAGAAAGCCAGGCCTTTCTGAAAGGCCAGCATGTGCTATCTACCGACATGCATATGGTTCAGTGGGCATCACTCAGGCCTTAATGTTGGTGGAGTCCTGAGTCTGTGCCAGATGCCAGGGACCCTAGGTAGGATTCTCCATAGTCCTGTCTGGTCTCAGATCTTTGGCCAGCAGATGACTTTGACAGATATTTTCTAAAGCAATCCAAGTCATTGAAGTAGTCGATAAGGTCAGTCGACTGTCAGGTAAGGTCGTGCTTTGAGTGTTGGGTCATTTGAAGTGAAGTCGGGGATCTCTAGATGGCCAGCGTCAACTCTCCGTGAGTCTCATAGTGGGGTGTGGATGTAGTTGAGGCCTAAAGTCCCAGTTTTCTGCCATCCTTTGGGGTTTGATAGAAGTCAGGTATGGGTGAGAACCACCCAAAACTTTTCTCACCCAGCACCCAGTTGAGAATCAGCATTTCAGGAAGGCCTTTCGAGGCTTTCTTCCGGCAAGCATTTTTAGAGTTAGGGTTTCTCCTGCTGAGGGAATGGTCTTGAAAGACAGCCCATTAAGCTAGCAGTGGTAGGTTCTGGGATGCTCTCTTAGACTTTATTCCTGTTAGCCTCTTAAAACCGACCGTCTATTCTTATGTTTGAAATGGTCTGGCTTCTGTTGGCCGCTGTCCTGTAGCCTGGCAGGCTGTGCAGGACTATTTGGAAAGAGAATGGCAGAGGTTAGTTTGGGACTCTGCTGCCTGTTTTTTTTGTTTTTTGTTTTTTTAAAAAACTTTTCCTGGAAGTTTTTATTATGTTGCCCCAAAGTGACAGATATTCTTCAGGGAAAAAGTAAAAGTTTAAGGAAAGACCCATCATATCCAGGCATTGGTGGCACACGCCTTTAATCCCAGCAGAGGTAGACGCAGATGCAGACAGATCACTGTGAGTTCGAGGTCAGCCTAGTCTACAGAGTGACTTCCAGGACAGGCTCCAAAGTTACACAGAGAAACCCTGTCTTGGGGGGTGAAAACACCACAAAAACCGAGAATATCATTTTGGCATTAGTGAGGGTAGGACACACATCCTTTATCCACCAGGAATGAAAGGTTTCAGAGAACTGGTTCCATTTTCATGATTGGCTGAGCTCTTTAACTGCTCTTTAACAGGGAAGGGGGGTGGAAATCATTCTTACTTATTTTATGTAGTTGAGTGTTTTACCTGAATGTCTATATGCATACTACATGTGTGCCCAGTGCCACCCTCAAAGAACCCCCCCAAAAACTCACATTATTCCTTAATAGACCTAGTTGTTTTTTGTTTTGTTTTGTTTTGGTTTTGTGTTTTGTTTGGTTGTGACTGAATCTCGACTATGTAGACCAGGCTGGCCCCAAACTCACAGCACTCTGCCTCCCAAGTACTGAGATTAGAGGCATATATATCTGACCCTAGTTTGTTTCTTGATAGTCCAGAATATTAATAACCAAGGTGTGTTGTAGGCTGTGGGATGTGAGGTTGTGTGGAACTTCTGTCCTCCTGTCTCCTGCCCCATCATATAGCTGGTTGTTTCTCTCTGGTTGTCCCTGCTGTCTTGTTTGGGTCTCAAGCCTGGGCTTGGTATATCAGAAGCTTTATTCCTTCAGAGCACAGTAGTCACGGAATGTGTAGGACCCTCACTGCTGCGTGTGAAATAAGAGCAAGCCGCTTCTGAATGGAGGAGGCATTGAGTGAATCTCTGAAGTCCGGTGCCCTTTTCGGAAGACTTCTGTGAGGCTTCTGTTTAGGTTTCTTAGAGACTATTTTTGGCTTGCGTCCTGGCGCTTGGCTGAGTTTCAGTCCCCATCACGGAGGTGTTATTCCAGGTTCAGGATGAGATAACTTGGGTGTGGCCCCATGCGTGTGTTTCTATTTGTCCTCACAGGACCCAATCAGCAAGGTAGGCAGTGACTGGTGACTGCCATAATAAGAAGGAAGTAGCCTCACATGTCCCTAGCTGTGGCAGAGGCAGAACTCAGACCCAGGCAGACATGGCGGCTGCCCCGCCACATGCATCTTCTGTGTTCGCCGTGAGATGAGATGTTATTGGGCCCAGTTGCCTTTGAGCTTCTTTGAGTTTTTCTTTTTGTTTACTACTGCTCATAACTCTCCTGAATCCTCATTTATTATATGAAAGGGTCTCGCATAGCCCAGGCTGGTCCTCACATAGCCTAGGCTAGTCTTGCATTCATTCTGTAGCCAGAGATGCTTATGGATATCTGGTCCATCTGCCTCCGTCTCCCAAGTGCTGGCACCAAAGTTAGGTGCCACCATACTTGAGTTGCCAGGCACAGACTCTAGGAAGCACAGGGGCCAATAAGGGCCACTTAAGAGCCAGCAACTCATCCCTTAGCGGTTTTCCTTCAGGTTCCTGGCGGTCTAGTCTGTGGGCCATGTAATGGTGTCTTGTGGTGGCTAGATATTGAGGGAACCAAAACGCCAAGAAATGGTCCCTGCGAGACTTAGAGTTTGGGGGTTCAGAGCCTCCCGGCCAAGTGGTCATTCCACTGGATTCCTCGTCACACATATGCCCACAAGCATGGTTGGACAGACTAAAGGGGCAGCTGGCATTGACTTCCCCCAAGGGCTCCTGGGAATTATCTTGGTGGGGGATGGAGGGGTGTCCAGGAACAAGAGCCTACTTATGGGACTTGCTCATACTTAGAGGCTCCTGTGGGTGTCCGGCTATCATCCGCTGCCAAGCATAGGGTGCCCCCCCCCCCACCTGGAGTGGAGTGATCCCCAGTCTCCTGCTTGGACAGACTTGGCTTAAGCTAAAAGCTCCGGGCAGTGTGAAGCACTCTCTGGCCAGCCAGCCATGGGTGTGTGCATCTACCCTGTGTTGGGCAGGCACCCGGGGATTCCCAGGGCTGGGATTAGACCCCCTCTCCAGAGCTCTGCCAACTGTGGGTCTCGTGTAGATGAGAGCACCATGTGAGAAATTGTGTGTGTGTGTGTGTGTGTGTGTGTGTGTGTGTGTGTGTTGGGGAGAGGGGATGAAAAGCAAAGCTGAACCGCTTTCAGCTCATTGTTCGTCTCGGGGAGCTTAGGGGGGATAAGAGGGTAGCAGGCCCCTTTGAAATGTGCTTGAACAAGTGAATAGGAGCGCCCCATAAAGCATGAAAAGAACCCTGGCTGCTTCTCCTCTTCACAATAGCCTGCCTGGGCTGCTGGAGGCTGAGGGGCTGAGGGGCTGGGGAACAGGGCTGGCTGCCCTGCTGGGAGTTGGGAGGGGACAGGGATGAGGGGGGAGCGGGGGACCAGAGGCAGCTTTCAATCCACTCTAGAAGGTTGGAGTCCATTAGGCACAAGTGCAGGGAAGCAATCATCTCATTTGCCACAGAACCAATTAAGTCCCCTGGGCCTTTGCAAGAGGCTTGAGGAGAAGGTGGGCAGGGCTGGGCCCGGCCTTGGTTCTTCTTCCTGGGACCCGCACGCAGTGGCCTAGGTGTATGTGTGGAGGGGGGCAGGCAAGTCACATAGGCCACCTCCCAGAGCCCAGCACTGACTGCTCTTTTGCCATTAAGGAAAAAAAAAATCACTCCTAAAGATGGCAGAGGTATTTGAGTCTCCGTCTTAGGCGCCCTAGAAGGCTGTTTTATGAGCTTGTTACTCCGAAACCTCCATTCTCGGGAGAAGTGGCTCTAATTTTTTTTTCCCCTTCTTTTGAAAGTTAACTGCTAGACTTCCAGCAAAATCCTAAACTCCAATCCTGGGAGGGTTAGGAACGAGAGGGGCATGGGATGGGGCTAGGCCCGAACAAAAGTGATGCAGAGCACCAGGCTTAGGAAGGCTGAGTGTGGGAGCAGAGCTGGTGCTCCGCTACCCAAGTTCACGGACCGTCAGGTGAGGGTACCATGACGGTAGCTTGCTTTTGCTCTCTGTGTCCCCCTGCATCCACACAAGATGACCTTTCTCCATTCCACAGAGTGGGTGGCGGGAATCATCTTACTTAATTATTTTTATTTCTTCATATCTTACATATGGCGGTGGGGGGGTTGGTCTGGACACTAGGGAGTGCCTCTGAGTGAACTTCAAATATTACCTTATCTTACAAACCAGGCTTTTGATGTTGGCTGTGATCGGTGGCTGCTTCAGAGTGGCTGCCAAGTGTGGGCACGCGTACGCTCGCGCCTGCTATTTCAAAGCCACCGGAAAAAGTGACATTCAGGTTAGGTCAGGCCCAGTGGAGTCAAAGGGCTAAGCTAATTGGCTCGGCTTAAATGGCAGCTAAGTGGAGTCTACACTTCAAAATCCGTGCGCCCCAGAAACAGCTGGGCCCGGCAGCAGGCTCGTTAGCTAAAATGTTTATAATTAAAGGAGACCGTAGAGGGACCAGACTCCGGTTATGAGCAGCCAGGATGCTGGTCATAAACTTCTGGAGCCCGAACAGAAGAAAGAAAGGAGAGGCCCCCGTTTGGAATGAGGGGCTGTTTTGGAAGAAGATTCCTGGCTAGGGGGAATTAAAGCCATATTTCCAGAAAGGCGCCTCTAAGCCTCTCTGACTTCTCCAAGCTAAAATTCTGCCTTTTGGCGCTGAGCACAAGTTGCTTCTCCTATGGTTGTGTCCTTCACCTGCCCTGGGTGTTGTGAGAGGTACTTAGGGAATCGTCTATCCCCTTGCCCATTGCTCTAGCTGTCACCTGCACCCCCGCCGCCCCCACTTCCTACTCTCCTCTTTCCTACCTTATATGGAGAAAGCATACAAGATAGGAAAGTCTCACCTGCCATTGATTTCTGCCCCAGGGGAAAGGATAAGTAAGGTCAGCTGGTGGAGACAGAGGGCAGAGTCTAGAAAGGGGTGTCTGGGGTACTCTCCTAGGGCTCCAGTTCTGTGTGCTACAGCATACCTGTAGTGGTCAGCGGTGCAGCCTCTGCTATCTTTGTATGAGCTCTGGGGACCAGACTCAGCTCCCCAACTCTCATACCTACTGCGCCTTCTCACTGGCCCTGCCCAGGACTCTCGAAGCCTGATATAAGTTACTCCAAGGTAGCTCTGGGTGGGTAGCCACCTCCCACTATTACGACCCCAGAGGAAGAGAAGAGTTAGTCAGGAGAGGAGTGTCGTTTTTTACACAGACCAGGGGCACTAACCCAAGGTGAGCCCCACTCCACCTGGCACTTCCATAGCCACCGAGTTCCAGTGGCAGAAGATGACTTCACATTTCCCCAGTTGTCCTTATCACATGACCTTTCAGAGCTTCGGGGATGGGCCCCCAGGTTTAAATCATCAGGGTATTTGGGAGCTTGAAGGCAGGCTTCTGAGTTGAACTGTTCTGCAGTTCATCAGTGACTGAGGTTGGGAGTCTGAGGTACCATTTCTGGCCATCTATAAAATGCATTTCTTGTGAACAAAAGCCGATGGGTCAGGAGTCTGAAGTAGCACCTGAACTTGCTTTGTGGGAGCCAGCGGCCTCGGGCTGCAGTTGCTGGCCTCGGGTAGGGTCCTCACGCTGCTGGTGTCTAGACAGCAGTTCCAGGGTGAGAGCAATGGCACCTTCTTAGTTGCTGGACATAAAACCTGCATACTCTTCACCATCAAGAGAAGCCCTTGGTGAGTTAGATACTTAACCTGGTGCCTGCCGCTTCTGATCTCCCCTCTCCCACCTCCCAGCGCCCCTCAGCGTAGTTAGTCCTCCTATGCTCTTTAGTCAAAGTGGGAGTTAGTCAGGCTGTTGTCCAGGCCGACTCTTCATCATCCTCTCAGGGACCCTGTTTTATGACCTAGGTCAGCCGCCTTCCACAGACAGTTAAGATTCTGGAGCAAACAGTAATGGTCAGCCATCACTCCTGGCCATTCTTTAGACTCAGACGGACGAGATGAAGGGTCTTTTCTTCCTGGGGTAACTAAACACCAGGGAAAGGGGAACAGACAACGCATCTCAGTGACACTGCGGCTCATCAGGGAAGCATGTTACCCCGTGGTCTCTGGAAGGGACATCCGCAGGGAGAAAAGTCTTACCTTGGCCATTGTGCTCCTAAGACTGAAATTCATTTTTGGTTTTGTTTTTAAATGGCCTCGGCCCCTTATTCTTCCTTCCAGTTGCTAATTTGGGTTTGTTCAGGTTTTTGAGGCAGGGTCTCATTGAAGAGTAGGCCTGGAACTCAGTGATCAGCCTGGGATTAAAGCCTTGGGCCCCCATACCTGGCCCATGTTTTCTTTTTTAAATAGCTTGAAAGATATGGGCCGGAAAAAGTACCCAGACCCAGTTGGCCACACACCAATTTTAAATTTCAGCCTCTTCCTCCCCAGTGAACCTCCTCCCTTCTCTTATTTGTACTTTGTCAGATGCTTGCTACTTTTTTTGTTGTTTTGTTTTATTTATTTATTTTTTAAATTATTTATTTATTTATTATGTATACAATATTCTGTCACTATGTGTGCCTGCAGGCCAGAAGAGGGCACCAGACCTTATTACAGATGGTTGTGAGCCACCATGTGGTTGCTGGGAATTGAACTCAGGACCTTTGGAAGAGCAGGCAGTGCTCTTAACCGCTGAGCCATTTCTCCAGCCCCTTGTTTTATTTTTTTGAGACAAAGTTTCTCTGTGTAACGGCCCTGGCTGTCCTGGAACTCCCTTTGTAGACCAGGAGATCCGCTTGCCTCTGCCTCCCTGGTGCTGGGATTAAAGGCGTGCGCCACCACCACCTTTCGGAGCTTACCACTTGTGGACATTGGTTTTTTTTTTTTTTTTTTTTTTGCCTTATTTTTGCATATGACCCCGAGACTCTCTTAGGATATCAGCTTCGTAAGAGGAGTGGAACCTTTTGTCCTGACTCTCCACTGACCTCTTACAGAGGGAAGGTATCTAGGTACGGTCTGGCGTGGTGTAGATGCTTGAATGTTTTGATGAGTTCATAGTGTGTCTAGGAGGGACTTTACTCTTAATGTCCATGTCCCTTCTGTGTCTTTAGTCTCTGATGACTAGGGAAGAGCACCACAAGGCGCTTTATAAAAGCACCTCCAAAGACAGTTGGGCATGATTGGCTGTTAGAACTTACAGGCATCTTTATGCAAGGGGGGGGGGCGAGCCCTTAGGTTGGTTATCAGCATGACCTGACAGCCTTTTGCCTTGGCACGGTTCTCCCAACTTAGATACTAGGCTGCCAGAGGACCAAAGAAGTCCAAGGCTACTTGGGGACACAAGCTCCTCCCAAGCTGATGTCCCTGTGGCCGAGAGAAAGCCAAGTTGCCATTGATGACAACGGGCAGGATTTGATGTTTGGTCTTGGGACAGGCCCTTTCCCGTGGGGACGCAATTGCACTGAAGATGTGTGGCTCCTTCCCACGAAGGCGTGTGGCTGTTCCTGTTGGCAGAATCTCCAGAGGCATGTGTGAGTGATGTCAGTGTATTTTGTCTTTCCTCTTAGAGATGGAATCCCTCCATATCGCATGGGGAGCAAGAAGCAGCTCCAGAGAGAGATGCACCGCAGTGTGAAGGCCAATGGCCAAGTGTCTCTACCTCATTTTCCGGTGAGTCTAGACGGCACGGGGAGTGCTGTTTCCTCAGGTCCTGACTCATGAAGAGAGCTGGGAGGTGGAGACCTGCATGCCTGAGATGGGCTGGGGTAAAGGGAGAGAAAGGAATTACTGGAGTGGAGAACTTATGTGATCCTGGGGGCGTGGTTTTAACAGAGGGACACTTGATAGTTCCTGAATTGAAGAATGGAAAGTTCTCTGAAAAAGAAACCACTTATCACTAGGTGATGAGGTGATGGGCTCCCTGCATTCCTGCTGAACTGGAAGTCCCCTCAAGGCTCAATGCAATCGTGTGTGTGTGTGGGGGGGGGGGGGCATTTGTCTGCTTGTCCATGTACCATTTGAATGCAGTACTCACAGAGGCCAGAGAGGGCATTAGATCCTCTGAAACTGGAGTTATAGATGGTTGTGAGCTGTCATGTGGATGCTGGGAATTAAGCCTGGGTCCTCTAAAAAAGCAACGAGGGCTCTTAACCTCTGACCCCTCTCTGCAGCTCCAGTTTTATCTGTTAGCTTCTGTGTACAGATTTGGCACCGTTCCCATCACACAGATAGTTCATCAAACCTGAAGTGGATGAGGCCAGGAGAAGCTCAGTGTTGTGTCCTCCTGCCCTGCCCACCACAGAAGGAAAGTCACCTCCCTAGGACTCCACTCCTCCTGAATAGCTCAGTCACTGTCTGTCTGTCTATCTGTAAAGGACTGTTTTACTAACCTCGTGTCCCCAGAGGGCAGCTATACAGTCCTAACTTTTCTCGTGTTCCAGAGCTGGGCTCTCACGAGTGCTGATGGGGTGGGGTGTCTGGAAGTGAGGCTTCCTGGGGGAAGCATCCTCCCTCAAGGATGAAGGAAGCTAACAGGTTGCTCTGGAACCCTCATACACTTCCTTGAAGGCAGCGAGCACAGGGTTCACTAGGCTCAAGCACCCATAAGCCAGTTCCCAGGCTGTGGTCTTTCTACGGTAGCCTGCTATCCGGGGGACAGGGAGAAAGCAGGGGCATCCATCCAGTGTAGAGCAGGTGTCTGGTCCGCCATTCTTCCTGGCAGCTTCCGAGAGTTCGGCTGATCCCTTTGGTTGAAGGCTGTTCAGAAAACTAACACGTGGGACTGTGAATTCCAGGTTACCTGAATAGGGCTGCAGATTGTTGCTGTCCTCAGAGACTCCTGGCACAGACGACAGTTATCTTGTCTTAAAATGGGCATATTAAGATTGCTGTAGGGAGTGACTTCTGTGATCCCCCCCCCCCCACATAATATAGATGACAAAGATATTTGAATGGGGGTGGGGGTGGGAATTCTTTTCCCCAAGCCTATAAATCAGCTGATTTTTTTGTCCTGGGGTATGCAAGTCGATTTGGGGGCACAGGTTCATGGAGCCAGCCTTCCACAAGAGCCCTCCGTTCCCCTGCTCACGTTTCTGCAGCTAAGTGATTGCCCTGGTGAGGTGGGCTGGCTCTTCAGCTAGGGAGAGCAAGTTGGCTTTCTGCTCTCCCTACCCCGAAAGAAAAAAGGCAAAACAAGAGAGAGAGGAGGAGGAGGAGGAGGAGGAGGAACAAGTGGAGAGGAGGGGGGTGGGGGGAAGATGACAGGGCAAGGACAGAAAGCCGGGCGGTGGGGGTTCTCCCATTTGCTGCTCTTGGCAGGCTTTCTCGACTCCTCTCTTTATATTCCGTACTTGGTTTGGAGATGTTCCGTTTTCCCTTGATAGATCGGCTTCAGGCAGCCAAGCTCAGCAGTGTTCTGCTACTAGCCCGCAGCAGCTTTCTTCATTTTCTGTACAAAGAGAGCAGGAGGAGGGGAGGAGGAAAACGGGGGAGATGGAGGACGGTGTTGAGACAACACTACCTCAAAGGTGCGCAGTGTGCGGCCAGGAAATAAATTACCACTTCTTCTCTGATCTGGGGCCGGTGACTTCCCTCCCCCTCCCTCCCCCCTGCCTCTTTTCCAATCTTATTTTTTTTAATTTCCAACTCCCTTTCTGTTTAGACTCTACTTTTTATTCCTTGAGTTGGTTTCTCTCCCCTCCCCATCTCAGAGGGCTGCCTTTTTTTGATGTTTGACAACAGTCTTTGAAGATTTTCTACTTCAGAGTAGCTACTGATGGGCTGGTTGTACTACAGAGAGAACAAGCAGGGCCTCTCGGAGTGCGACCAACTGCTCCTGCCCAAGGCAAATGCTGGTGGGGACCATGGCTCTCCATGAGGCCACAGAGCCCGCGCATAAAAGTCCTGAGCCGTGCAGCCTGTTTCGCCATCCACTCTCCACCCAAACACGGGGACTCAAGAGCGCACACGGATGGGCCCCACAAGCTCCATCCATGCTGCTGTGGCCAGCGCCTGCCTGGCCTGCTAATGGTGCCTCCTTCCTTGCTTCCCACACCTTCAGAGAACCCACCGTCTGCCCAAGGAGATGGCGCCTGTGGAACCTGCTGCCTTCGCCGCAGAGCTCATCTCCAGGCTGGAGAAGCTGAAACTGGAGCTGGAGAGCCGCCACAGCTTAGAGGAGAGGCTGCAGCAGATCCGGGAGGTAGGGCCGGCCGCAGCATCCTCCCGACCCCTGTGCATGAGCGTGCAATGTGTGCATGCGTGTGCCGACCTGTGGGTGCATGAACTCGGGGTGTGGAAGGGTTGCTTCCTTGTTCACTTCCCCCTTGGGGCCTCTCTTTCCAGGATGAAGAAAAGGAGGGGTCTGAACAAGCACTGAGCTCACGGGATGGAGCCCCGGCGCAGCACCCTTTGGCCCTCCTACCCTCTGGCAGCTATGAAGAGGACCCACAGACCATCCTGGATGACCACCTGTCCAGGGTTCTCAAGACCCCTGGCTGCCAGTCACCTGGCGTGGGCCGCTATAGCCCCCGTTCCCGCTCCCCAGACCACCACCACCATCACCGTCAGCCGTACCACTCCCCGCTCCCGATTGGGGGTAAGCTGCCCCCTGTGGCTGCTTGCCCACTCCTCGGAGGCAAGAGCTTCCTGACCAAGCAGACGACGAAGCATGTTCACCACCACTACATCCATCACCATGCTGTCCCCAAGACCAAGGAGGAGATAGAGGCAGAAGCCACGCAGAGAGTACGCTGCCTTTGTCCTGGGGGTACCGAGTATTACTGTTACTCCAAATGCAAGAGTCATCCCAAGGCCCCAGAGCCCCTGCCTGGCGAGCAGTTTTGGTAAGTGGCTAGCACCCCTGTCTCCCAGGGGAGGGCTTTTCTCCCTGCCTGAGTCCTGAACAGGTGTGTGGTGGGGCCAGGGTCACAGTTAAGCTTCCTGGAGGGGCCTGGGCATGGGTTTAAGTATGGAAAGTGACATCCTGCCCTCTCTATACCCTTGTGGGATGGCCACACTCCAGGAGTCTTGGAGTTTTAATGAGACGTCTGGATTTGTGTTCTTGGTTCTCTACAGTAGCAGCAGAGGCAGTACCTTACCAAAACGAAATCCGAAAGGCACAGAACCAGGTCTGGCCCTGCCGGCCAGGGAAGGAGGGATGTCCAGCGGACCTGGGGCCCCTCAGCTCCCTGGGGAGGAAGGAGACCGATCACAGGATGTCTGGCAGTGGATGCTGGAGAGCGAGAGGCAGAGCAAGTCCAAGCCCCATAGGTAAATACCACGCCCTGGGGCTTCGACACGGAGGCTGTGTGGGGATGGCTATTTCTGCAGTCTGTGGAACGCCAATGTGACTGCCATCTTAGTATTAGACACTGGGCTGAGGAGACCGCAAAAATGTCATGTTTTGGCATTGACCCCTGCTCATGTTATGGTAGAGTTATTTTCTTCTCTCTCTCTCTCAGAATAGACAAGTTTCTACTGAAGTCACATTTTCCAGTTTTTCTAACCCAGTTTCTCTCCTCTTCATGTCCCGTTCAGTGCCCAAAGCCTAAGAAAGAGCTACCCATTGGAGTCTGCCCGCACATCCCCAGGCGAACGAGTCAGCCGGCACCATCTGTTGGGGGCCAGCGGACACCCCCGCTCAGTGGCCCGGGCTCACCCGTTTACCCAGGACCCTGCAATGCCTCCCCTAACCCCACCCAACACTTTGGCGCAGCTGGAGGAAGCCTGCCGCAGGCTGGCAGAGGTGTCAAAGCCCCAGAAGCAGCGGTGAGTGGCCCTGTGGAAGGCGCTCAGCAGGGGTTTGGGGTGGAGAGACTCCTCTTGTCTCTGGCTGAATAAGTCTCCTTTTCAGCCTCTGGAAGTCATTCTCTTTGGTTCGGTTCATTTGTCAGAGTTCAAGCAGGGTAGGGTCTTCGAGGCAACTTATTCCTCCTACAAGTGGGATGGTTCCGTGTAAATCCTTACGCATGTCCTTACTTCATGTGAGGCAGGTTAGATGAGTATATGAGAAGCCATGACCAGGGGAGAATCATGAGCCTTGAGCCCTTTGCCGGCAATGAGATGGCCCTGTGGGTTCTTCCAGAATGTTCATGAACACAAGGCCTTGGTCGGGTTTTTACAGGAATGGAGGTTAGCTTGGGTCTACATCTCTTTAGGAGGCCAGCATGGTTTTCTCTGCTTCCCCATTGCCATGGGGATGTGAGTTTACCTCTAACCTCTAAGCCAGTGGTCCTCAACCTGCAGATCATGACCCCATTGGAGGGTCAAACAACCCTTTCACGGGGGTCGCCTAAGACCATTGGAAAACACAGTAACAAAATTACAGTTATGAAGTACCAGCGAAGAGAATTTCACAGTCAGGGGATCACCACGACATGAGGAACTGTGTTTAAGTGCGCTGTGTTAGGAAGGTTGAGAGCTGCTGCTCTAAGTCCTTGATTCTGCTTTGTCCTCAGGTGCTGTGTGGCCAGTCAGCAGAGGGACAGGAACCACTCGACCACTGGACAGGCAGGAGCCACACCCTTCTCTAACCCAAGCCTGGCTCCCACAGAGTGAGTGTCCCCTCTCAGGCATGGCAGGGATGCTTGGAATGGCTTACACTTCAGGGCACATCATTGTCTGGAGTGACGTGTATGTGGAACTCCATGGTGGAAGTGGCCTTGGTAGAAGCAGATGTTGCCATCAGCGAGGATCATGGGAAATCTGCCTAGTGAAAATGCTGCACCCCAACCCAGGGTATCCGGGGCTCACAGGAATCAAAAGCTAGTGCTGAAGCCATTGTCAGAAGGGTAGGAGGGTTGACTCCAGATGCCCAAGTTGTAGGACTTGGAAGCTCACAGGCCTGGACAAGTCTTTGTGCCTGTCACCCCGAGCATGCTCTGCTCTGAGAAGATAAAAACCTTGTCCCAGGCTGGGCCCATGATTCTTGGGAGACTGGACTTTGAATCCTAGACAGAATTCCCAATGTACCAGTTCTAGAATGCTCTTCATCCTGAGCAGTGACTAATGTCTGAGGTCCTGAATAAGCCGCCTTCCTGAACCTTTTCCTTGTTTTAACTGGCTAGCCTCAAGTCTGCCAGCTGCTACCCTGGTGACTGTTATAGCCACTCTCCAAACAGTATGAATGGGACAGTTAAAATGACGGTGGGACTGGGGGTGTAACTCATTGGTAGGGTGCTTGCCTAGCAAGCAGGAAGCCCTGGGCTAGCTCCTCCTCAGCACCACATAAACTGAGGCAGAGGCGGGGTGAGCAAACACCAGCTATTGCCGCTCTCTGGAGCTGCAGGAAGGAAGGTCAGAAGTTCAAGGTCAGCTTTGGCTGCCCAGAAAGCTTGGGGCCAGCCTGGCATATATGAAACAGTGGGCTATTATCCCCCTGTGAATGTGGTTCTGTGGCCATGATGGGCAGGCCTCTTAGGCATTTGAGCTCCCTCTGGCCATGGAGGAGCCCTGGCTGGTGAGCCTCGTGCAGGCAGTTCCTCAATACTGTCTCTTCTCTGGTCTTCATTGTCGAGTGCTCTGTTGTGCTAGCCTCTGAGAGAACCCCAATTTGAAGGCATTTGAGGGATACGGTATCAATTTCCAGTCAGGACAACCACCCCTTCCCTCATGCTCTGCCTGTCTCTTTAGAGGTTGCTACCTCTGTCGTATGAGGGCCCCCCCCATCCTTTGTAGACCCCATGTATATGGTTATGAGTGTGCATCTGCTTTGAAATGCTGAATTTGTGGCATCCTGTCTTTTCAGTCACAAAGAACCAAAGAAACTGGCAAGTGTCCACGCGCTCCAGGCCAGTGAGTTGGTTGTCACTTATTTTTTCTGTGGAGAAGAAATCCCGTACAGGAGGGTGCTGAAGGCCCAGACCTTGACCCTGGGCTACTTCAAGGAGCAGCTCAGCAAAAAGGGAAATTATAGGTAAGGATCCCACCGCCTTTCCTGCTCTGGAATTTGCCCTGAGCACCTGAGTCTTTGTAGGCCTCAGGTAGATTTTGGGAGTGCTGTGGGAACAGCACTGAGTGGGCCTCTGGACATCTAGGGTCCTTGTGTTGACTCTCTCCCTCCACTCTAACAAGAGCAGCCATAGGGGAGCCATCCAGAGGGGCTGGTTCTCTGGAGGACAAGGAGTTCCAGTTTGTTTGACCAGGAAGCAAGGCTCTGCTCTGTGGTAGAGGCTCTGCGTGAAATTGGAGGCCCCCTTGTCTGTTGGGGTGGGGAGTGATTAGGGAGAGCCCAGCGCCACTCAGGGGCCGCCATGTTGGAGCTGCAGAAAAGCAGACACCAGGCTTTTGGAAGCCACCAACCCCTTCCTTGCTCTGCCTGGTGAACACGCTCCCTGGGTTTGATCGGCCACCTGTAGCAGCCGTGTTTGACTAAGAGCTGGGCCTGTGGGCAGTCAAGAGGGCCAGTAGGCTGGCCAGTCTCCTGCTTGGCCCTGGGCTTCTCTGTCCCCCTCACTGCCGCCTGGCCTCTTTGCCTCCCTGGCAGAGTGGAGGAACCCTTAACAAGGCCCACGCTGACCTTGACACGTCCTTGAGAGGAACCCAGGAGCTAAGCTCGATGAAGGCCAGCTCAGAAACATTTCTTAGCCTTCTGAAAGGCAGGAGGTGGCCATGTCTGTTCATTTAGCGCTAGACCTGCCGGGTCTCCCCCTGGAGGGAATGCAGTGTTGTGTCCCAGGTGCACAACACCAAGCCTGGACAAAATGAGGCAGACAAGGCACTCAGGGAGGTCCCCCTTCTTCACTCCCCAGTTGAGTGTCCTAGTTGGGTGTAGAGGCTCAACCCATGCGGACTTCCAGAGCCCAGATGTGTGTAGGGGGTGGAGGCTGAAGGATGCTCAGCTTCCGGGATGGGCCCTGGCCTCTGGATGAGCAAACCTGTGGCAGGATGCTGAGTTGCCCCCACCTTCCCTGCTGGAGCCTATCCTGTGTGGCTGCACCAGCCATTCTATCGTGGAGTTCTTTTGGTGGTCCCAACAGTGACCTTTAGCCGGGAGAAGGACCAAGACCCTGCAGGTGACAGCGTACTGGGGTTGGCAGGTGTGTAGTTGAGCCTAGGCTATTCCCCATCCTACCTGAGGAAGGAACCTTTCTCAGTGTTATCAAAGGGTCTGGGGAGCAGGCCTGGCTGCCGCCTTTAATCTTGATGGAGACACAGGTGAAGCTAATTACACCAGTGTGCCCCTCCAGGGATTCATTTTGATCTTGGCTTTGACTCTGCTGGACTTGGAGGGGAACCGCAGGTGACCTTCAGGGGGCGAAAGTGTCACAGCACATCGCAAGGGGCCCACAGGGAAGGGCCTCGCTCAACCACTCCGGCCACATCTGGCTCTGATTTTTTTCCCCCTAAGGCACATTTAATAAGCCTGGCTTTGAAGCTCTGGCCTCCCCTTTAATGCGCAGAGACTTGCATAAATGGTCCCCTCTCAAATTCTTTCCTGATTGGATCAGGCTGTGGCAAGGCCCTCCCACCCTCCTTATCTCCACCTTGGTGTGTCCTCCTGGAGGTGGGGGTTGGGCAAGAGAGTTCCGTGCCTCCCTCCCCAAACCAGGGCCTTGACCCCCTACATTGCAGTTTGTACCCCTAACCCCCACCCTGATGAAAGAGAGCCCAGTGAGGCTGGGGTTGTAGAGCTGGGACCTGGGCCGTGTTGAGTAATCTCACCATGGCAGGAGATCAGAAAGCAAACAGCTCTCCAGACATGCCAGGCGCCATTGGTGCCAGATGTCGGGAGAAGGCAGAGTTTGCCACATGAAGCCTGGTGCTGTGGAAAACCCGGTTCTTGGAGAAAAAGGAGGGTGAGGCAGTGTGTTTGAAGTCCTGGGGGTGGGGGTGGGGTCGGGAATGTTGCCTCTCTCCCTGCTGGAAGAGGTTGTAATTACGGAAAAGGTCAGCGCGTGTTTGCCCAGAGGTGCCATGAAAGCCCAGCGTGGTAACTGCTAGAGGGTCAGAGCTGGAGGCCCGGAGGTATTGGAGGTCCAGGCCCTCTTGTTTGGGAAAAGGACGCCCCCTTGCTGTCTCGACTCCCCTCCCTATTTTCTTTCCCCTAAGGCTTCACTAAGCATTTTGACTCCTGTGCAGTGTTGCACCCCTTAAATAGCTGTGGCCCTAGACAGCCAGCTCAGCCACAAACGCCCTGGCTGGACCCGGCTTCCTTGAGCTTAACCTGCCCCCTTAATTCAGTTCACCTGCTCTAACAAGGGAATGCCACAATTAACTGAGGAGGGGTCACTTTTATTTATTTATTATTTTCAAGAGAAGGTACCTCAGCCCTAAACATGAGGCAGAATTTTATGTTTTAGTGGCTCCATGGTTCCAGGGGGTGGTGACCTTTTACCTGATCTGCAAGGGCCAACTCACAGGGAAAGCGTAATCCCCTTGAGGGGGGTTCTCTGTTGCTGGGGACAAGGAAGAGGCGTTGTTGAGGGTCCTCTTCAAGGCTTGGGCAGGCCTGACCCAGGATGGTTGGTTGTACAGAGTATGAGGACCCAAGAGAGGCTGTCATTTGTGTCTGTACAGTTAGACAGTCTGAGAAGGGGATGTTGGAGAGGAAGAAGAGGAGCCTTTAAATAAAGGCAGGAGGAGGGAAGGCTTTAGTGTTGGACCCTAGCCAGGTGGGGAAAGCAAAGGGAGGGATCCGGGGACAAAAAGGGTTCCATGCCCAGCTTGGAACAGGTGAGTCCTAGGGTTGACTCGCCTCTTATGCTGGGCCAAAGACTTGGGTGAATGGCCGCTGACTGATGCTGACAGCAAGGCAGCCTTCTACTTTTTGAGACTGAGTCCTGGGTCCCTGAAGGATCTCCCTGCCCTACCATCACAAATGAAGCCCTGGCACTTGCGCTTCCCCTTCTCCTCCCTCAGAAAGAGGTGGGGGGAACGAGAGTATCCATGTTGGGTGGGCAGGTGGCAGCAGTTCTGGCTAGAGGCTGAAGGCAGGAAGAGCCTGGCCTTCCCACCCGCACAGTGCCTCTGCCTGGCCCATCTGGCAAGGTGGGCTGCCCTCATTCATCTGGTACGGACTGTGGTTTGCTCACCAAGCCTTCCCGTCTTCTCTTAAGGTATTACTTCAAAAAAGCCAGTGATGAGTTTGCCTGTGGAGCAGTCTTTGAGGAGATCTGGGACGACGAGACGGTGCTCCCCATGTACGAAGGCAGGATCCTGGGTAAAGTGGAGAGGATCGATTGAACCTCAGCCTCAGTGTGTGAGCCCCGTGGACCTGAAGCTCAGAGACCTGTCTCAGCCCTGCGCGACAGCCACGGAGTATTTTGAAGGAAAATGAAACCAATTAAAGAAGACAAAGTTGAGGGAAGAACTGGCCCCTGGGCCTTCAGGAGGGGTGGGGCAGTGGCTGCTTTTCAGTGTCCACAAGCTGGGGACTGAGATCAGAAAAAACCTGAACTATTTATTCAAAACATGACCACTCTGGGCTATTGAAGAGGCTGACTGTGTTTGAGAGACTGCCATACATAATATATGACTTCCTAGGGATCTGAAATTCATAGGCTAAGAGAAAACTGTGTATAGCTTGCCCAAACAGGAGTCCTTATTGATATTTATTGAACAGTCGATCCCCCTCCTCCCTCCTCCCCCCGTTTATGCTGCTTTAAACATGGAAGTGGAAGAGAGAAGTTTGGATTGCTGTCTACACTTAGGAGCCGAGCTGGGAGTGCACTAACCATTCTTCATGAGCAGACTCTGCTCTGCAGGGCATTTCTCCAGGTGAAGACAGGCTTAAAAAATAAAAATGGTGCCCACGTGCAGAAATCAGTCCCACCCCCCGCCATGCTGCTGTGCTCGTCACAGAGGTCTTGAGGGTGGGTTGTGACAGATTCCTCACTGCTTTGGAAATGTCATGTTGGGTAGAGGCCATCCAGAGTGGAAAGAGCAGGGAGCCGCCTTACCCCCCCCCCCCCCCCCCCCCCCCCCCCCCGCCTGGGGACCAGAGGTTAGCCCATCTGTGTACCTTCCCCTCTGAGTCCTGGAATCCCTATGGCTGAGGCTGCTGACTTCACGGCCTTGTGGTTCAGGCTGGCTTTTTTTTTTTAAGGAAGTGAGAGTCTCTTTTCCCTTTGGTTAGTCTGTGGACCATGGCCATCAGGACCTCGCCCTTGTCCACCCGACCGTGTGAGGACACGGGCACCTAGCAGCACCTCTCCTCTGTTACCTTCCCCTCGGCGCTCGGGTTTGTGTTCAGTTAACCTGCACGTCCTGTTCGCCGTCCTTACTGTACTATAGGCCTGTGTATAGTGTAGGGCAGAGTGTTAACCCACTGGCTAGTGTTTGACTTGGGAATCGGTACAGTACCTGTACAGACACGGGGACCCACCCCGTGCACCGCCCTATATTCAGGGCTCAAGCTCTCCCTTGGTTTTTGAAAGGGGTTTATGTATAAATATATTTTATGCCTTTTTATTACAAGTCTTGTTACTCAGTGACTTTTGTCATGGCATTTTGTTCTACTTAGACTGTAAATTATGCATTATAAAGAGTTCATTTAAAGAAAATTACTTGGTACAATAATTATTGTAATTAAGAGATGTAGCCTATATTAAAATTTTATATTTTTCAAAACATCAGCCTCATCATTGGATCTCCCGGGGTGGGAGTGGGACCAGGGACCATATTGCACAGGACTGTCTGGATGTGGCTTCCCCTCGCTTAAGCCGTGTTCTGCTTGCAATGAAGCATGGTTACCTGACCTGAGTGGTTTTCTCAGTCTTGGGTAAAAAGCTTCTGGAAGTGGGTTTGTAGCAAGGGATAGCCAGTCGAGGCCAGTGGGCTTTGAGGCTAATGCCATCCACCCTTTCTGTCCTGGGATCTGGCCTTAGATCATCTACAGCCATCATCCACGCTCCAGGTGGGTCAAGTGTCGGGAACAAACCATGGGTCCTCAGTAGGAGTCATGAAGGGCAGCTTGCCCTTTGATGGTGTGTGTGACCTGACCTTAGACATCAGCTAGCAGTTGCTCACTCTGTCATGTGGGCCTCATGTGTACAGCTCAGGAAGCTAGGCTGAGGCGTGGACAGAGCATCCACTTGAAGTCCTATGAGGGGAACTTTGTAGAAGACTGGTGACGGGTGAGGTTTATGGGTGGTTGTTTCTTTTCATCTTAAAGCCTTTTGATTCAGAGGCAAGGAGGGCTTACCACCCAGGTTTGAGGCTAGGCAGTGGTGGCGTAGGCCTTTAAACCCAGCACTTGGGAGGCAGAGGCAGGCGGATCTCTGTGAGTTTGAAGCCAGCCTGGTCTACAAAGTGAGTTCCAGGACAACCAGGGCTGTCACACAGAGAAATCCCATCTCGGGGGGGAAAAAAAAAACAAGCAAACAAAAAGGCCCAGGTTTGAGTCCCAACACTAGCACGTTCTGTGTGAGTACCTGGCCTGGCCCTTGTATGGAGGGATATAGCTGGAATAATTAATCACTCAGGATTGTTTATTGTGTTAAGAATATTACCATAATACAGTCTCCATGTTTTAAGAGCACAAGAGTATCAACCACATTAGTGACACTAATATTGTACAATTAGAACTCTGTGTGTGTGTGTTACGTTTGTACTTGAATGTGTAGAGGTGTACCTGCCTGTGGAGGCCAGAAGTCAGGTGTTCTGCTTCTCTTGAGATAGTCTCTTACTGAACTTGGAACTCGACTGGAAGCCAGTAAGTCCCAGTGATCCTCCTGTCTCTGTCTCTCATAGCATTAGAGTTACAGGCAAATGTGCAGCCGTGCTTGTCTTTTTCTCTGGGATCTGGGATCCGAATTCAAGTCTAAATGCTGTACAGCAAGAGCGTTTACCCACTGAGCCATCTCCCCAGCCCTGGAATTCTTCACCCCGCAGAATTATTTACATTGACTGGATGATAAATCATTTTCCCTCCTCTCCGACCATCAACTACCATGTTGCACTCTATGACTATTTTTAGGATTATGTTATGTGTGTGTTTTGCCTGCATGTGTATATGTGCACTACATGCATGTCTGGGGCCGAGAGGTCAGAAGAAGACATCAAATCTCTGGGTACCAATCCTGGGCCCTTTGTAGGAGCAACAAATGCTCTTAACCACCGAGCTGTGACCTCTCCAGCTCTATGACTTTTATTTTATTTTTTTTTTATGGTTTATTTTATGTGCATTGGTGTGAAGGTGTCAGATCCCCTGGAACTGAATTTTCAGACAGTTGTGAGCTGCCATGTGGATGCTGAGAATTTATCCTGGGTCCTCGGGAAGAGCAGTCAGTGCTCTTAACCGCTGAGCCATCTCTCCAGCCCTCTATGACTATTTTAAATACGTAAAAACATCTTTTTAAATTTAACTTATTATTTTATGTGCATTGATGTTTTGCTGTGGGTGTTGTATCCCCTGGAACTGGAGTCACAGACAGTTGTGAGCTGCCATGTGGGTGTGGTAATCGAACCCAGGTCCTCTGGAAGAACAGACAGTGCTCGTAACCACGGTGCCATCTCTCCAGTTCCTATTTTAAATTCTTCTGAGTGGAGTCATACAATTGTATTTATCCTTCTGTGACTAAAACTGCTTAGCATGTAGACCCGGGGTTTATTTATGTCACAACACAGATTGCAGTTTTCAAGGCTGAGCAGTAGTCCATTGTATATACATACCACATTTTCTTTAGCTCTTCATCCAGCAGCCAGCATTTGGGTGAATTCCGCATCCTGGCTCTTGTGAACAGTGAAGCAGAAAACATGAGAATGCAGATCATTGAGATCTCGATTTTAGTACTTCATAAATCTCCAGAGTTGAAATTGCTTTTTTTTAAATGTCTTTGGAGAACTTTCTTTGTCTTTAGTACAGTTTTATTTTTAATTTTTTCTATTATTTTTATATGAATGGGTGTTTTGCCTGCACATACGTATGGGCACCACATGTGTGCCTTTGCCTGCAGAAGAGGCATTGGATCCCCTAGTACTGGAGTTACAGACAGTGTGAGTCACCGTGTATTATGGGAGCTTCAGGGTGGAGGCTTTTGGGTCAGTTCCAGCTGGATTCCTCCAAATCCTGTGTTCAGAGTGTGTGGTGTCTTCAGCAATGTGGTTTTACCTTCAAGTCATGGGAGGCAGCCGAGGGCAGTGACAACAGCCTGTATGGTTCTGGGCCCCCCCCCCCCCCCGAACCTCTCCACCATGACCAACAAACTCAAAGGGAGGCGTTCTGTGCCTGTCACTGGCGGTTTTGTGAGTCTGTGGCTCTTGTGGGGAGTTTTTACCACTCTGTGGTGTAACTCTTCACACTGGTTTATACACACATATATTTTTAAGGGCAAGCTTATAAAAGGATGTTTCTCTACAGCTTTCTTCAACATCCATAATGTCACCTCTCCCAAAAATTCCATCAGGAAACTTCTAGAAATTATCACACTTCCAGCAAAGTTGCAAGAGGCAAAACTTTAAAAAGAAATGACTGTTCTATAAAAGCAGTTTACAGACTTAAGGAAGGAAATCCCAATGAAAACCCTTAAGACATTCTCCAGAGAAATAGAAAAAGCCATCCTGAAGTTCATATTGGAAACACAGAAGACCTCACAGACAGCCAATATTCTAAGCAAAAAGAACAATCCTAGAGGAATTACCACACCAGATTTTAAGCTATATTACTGAGCAATGGTAACACAAACAGCTTGGTATTGGCACAAAAGCAGATACATAGATCAATGAGACACAGCAGACTCAAACATGAATGCAGGAAATTACAGCCAATAGACGTTTGACAAAGACACCAAAACTTCAAGATGGAGGACAGACAGCATCTTCAACAAACGCTGCTGGGAAAACTGGGTGTAAATGTGTAGAAAAATGAAATTAGATCTTTATCTATCACCTTTCATGAAAACTAACTCCAGCCTGGCCGTGGGGGTGCAGGCCTTTAATTCCAGCACTCTGGAGGCAGAGGTAGGCGGATCTCTGAGGCCTATCTGGTCTATGAGAATGAATGTCACATTCATGTCACAGGGTAATCTAGAGATAAACCCTGTCCCAAAAAAACAAAACAAAGCAAACAAACAAACAAAATTTAACTATTTAACTCCAAATGGGCCAAAGACCTTGAAAGACCAGGATAAATCCAGACCCCTCTAGCAGGAAAAATATACCAAAAATCTAGGTTATCCTGTTCAGTGACTCTGTTTTAGGAACTATCTGAAAAAGTTAGATTATAATCTTGAGAATAATCTTGAGAAACAGGGAGTTACCCCCTTGTGATTATCACTGGTATTTTTGGAATTTTTCACTGATCACTGGTATTTTCGGAAATTTCCAATGACGCCCTCCCTACCCCCTTTGGATTACTGGGTTTGTAGTAATAAGGGCGGCGGGGCTGCATTCCCAGCACCCCAGCTGCCTGCTCGGCTAGCTTATGCCCCGAAATAATTACACGGACACTGTATTCTTTTAATCACTGCTTGGCCCATTTCTATCTAGCCTCTTCTAGGCTAACTCTCACACCTGGACTAGCCCATTTCTATTCTATGTAGCACAGCTAGGTGCGCTTACCGGGAAGATTCTAGCCTACATCCATCCTGGGTCGGAGCTTCATCGCGTGTGTCTGCCCAGGAGCTGGGAGCATGGCGTCTCTCTGAGGCGTCTGCTCCCGAAAGGAGAGCTGTGGAGTCTGAGCTCACTTCCTCTTCCTCCCAGCGTTCTGTTCTGTTTACTCCTCCCACCTATCTTCTAACCAATGAGGGCCAAGCAGTTTCTTTTTATTTAACCAATGACCTTCCTCCATCATTTCCCCTTTTTCGGTTTAAACAAAAAAAAAAAAAAAAAGCTTTAACTTTAACATAGCAAAATTACATATAACGAAACAGTTATCAAGTAAAAGTTACAATAATCTTTATCATAACTAAGGAAAACTATAACTAACTATTCTTAACTCCATCAAAGACTCCAGAAAGATACAATACTACCTAAGCAAACAAGAAAAAAGCAACTTTTAAAACTCTAGAAATGACAGAGACATCTCGCTGCCTGGACAGTCACCCAAAGTCTTCTGTACCGTTGGGGCATCCATCTTCAGCCTTCAGGCCCATGGTATCCAGCAGACATTTCCATAAAGCAGGAAAATTCAAAGTCAGTTCAGTCACTATCTGTTGTGTCCTGCAGAATGTCTCGCAGACTCTTTCATGAATCAGGAACCCCGAAAGATCATCTCACCTTAGGCAAGTTCAGTAGTCCTCTCTCTGCGGGTTCTCTGTGTCCAGTTTATGCAATAGTCCAGGCAAGAGCAGTTTCTTGCCCAAATGGCTATCAAAAGTCCATAAGGTGCCTCTTCGATGCCCATCTTCCTCTTGAAGTAGATTGGTGCTGCCAGGAGCAGAGTGTCTCATTGTCATGAAAAGTCCTCAGTTATTAAAACATTAAATGTCCTATTCTGTAATCTTTGAAAGACATGAAGAATGTCTATCTAAAATATATCTCTATATATCTAGAAAATCTAACTAACATGACTGCAAGCTTTACTATTATTGATGATTATCCATTAACAACCTATATTTCTTAACTATACAGTACATATTTAAATGAATTACACAATCACAATATCTTAATCAAAATCAGAAACACTT